CTTTAAAAAAAAAACTTATTTTTTTTCAATGGCTCTTTTTGCCTTCTTATTTTGCTCTACTGGGAAAGATGTAAAAGATGGCTCTTCTCTTTCTCTAGCCCAACAGTTGAAGGCTTTTTGGATCAGGTGTAATGTTTAGTTAGTGTCTCTTACCTCTCTAGTGGAGGGACGCGGTGGCTCAGTGGCTAAAATGCTGAGCTTGTCGATCAGAAAGATCGGCAGTTCAGGGGTTCGAATCCCTAGCGCCGCGTAACGGAGTGAGCTCCCATTATTTGTCCCAGCTTCTGCCAACCTAGCAGTTCGAAAGCACGTAAAAATGCAAGTAGAAAAATAGGAACCACCTTTGGTGGGAAGGTAATAGTGTTCCAGGCTCCTTCAGCGTTTAGTCATGCTGGCCACATGACCACGGAATCGTCTTTGGACAGCACTGGCTCTTCAGCTTTGAAACAGAGATGAGCACCGACCCCTAGAGTCAGGAACGACTAGCACATATGTGCGAGAGGAACCTTTACCTTACCTCTCTAGTGGTGAAGAAAGGGGCTTGATGGGTCTCTGGCATGGTTGCAGATTTAACTCTGAAAGTCAGGGCCTGTAAACCCCTAAACCAGCATTTCTTAACTTTGGTGACTTGAAGACCTGTGGACTTCAACTCCCAGAATTCCCCAGCCAGTATAGCTTGAACTATGGCGATCTGAAGTCCTGTGGACTTCAACTCCCAGAATGCTATGCTAAGCCGGCTGGGGAATTCTGGGAATTGAAGTCCACAGGTCTTCTAGTTGCCAAAGTTAAGAAAGACTGCTCTAGGCCAGCATTCCTCCATCTCAGCAACTTTAAGATGTATGGACTTCAACTCCCAGAATTCCCCAGCCAGCAAACCAGCCCTGAATATAAAATGACAAATTCCTATTTTAAAGTTGCTGAGATCGGCAAATGTTACGCTTCAGACCTTGTCTCTGAGTTGGCCAAAGGTGCAGAATCCAAGGAAGCATTTGTCACGCTTGGAAAATCGAAAGGGAAAGCCAAACTGCACAGCAGAAGCAGCATTTATTTGGTGGCCTGCACGTAGCACCAACTTTTTGCACCGACAACAACAGTCTGCTTAATTTTGCATTTTACGGAAGCAACAGACGTTTGCTTAGCTTGAACGCCTCGCCTCTCTCGGACTGTTAGAGATCCTTGCTCTGCTTTGGGGTGGCTTCAGAGAACTGTTAACAGCTGCTCCATTGCATCTTGATAATAATAACAACTAGGCGGTAAACCTCCTGGCAGGTGCCTACTATTGAGCATTACGCTTTCTCAGAGCTGTTTGAAATGCACACACAGAGCCTTCGCCAGATGGTTACGGTTTTTTATGATTTATCTGCTGGTCTGTTGGTGAATTCCTTTGGTTTATAACATGCTAAAGCAGGGGTCGGCAACCGTAAACACTTAAGAGCCACAAAGGTCCTAACCGGAAGCCCCCCGTTCAATTCTGGAGCCAACTGGAAGTCCGGTTCCGCCACCAGAGTCTCTTCCTAGTGCAGCGTCCTTTTATCGACTGGAAGTCTGGTTTTCCCACCATAGAGTCTCCCCCTAGCGTGGCATCCTTTTTCCTTTGCTGAGCAGAAGTCCGGTTCCACCACCATAGAGTCTCCTCCTAGTGTGCCATCCTTTTTCTGACTGGAAGTCTGGTTTCCCCACCATAGAGTCTCCTCCTNGTGAGATTTGAACAGCCAAACTGCAGAACTGCAGTCAGCTGAAGTAGCCTGCAGTGCTGCATTTAACCACTGCTCCACCTCGGCTCTATACCAAGACATCAACAAACTGGTGGCGGCCATCCAATTTTCGGCGGATGCCACCTTGTCTGCAGCCAGGTTTGCCTCCAGATCAGACAATTCTGGTCCCAATTCCCAAGCCATAAGTCGAGGACTATTTATTCAGGCTTGTTCCTGTATTTTTTGAACAACAACAAAATTGAGGCAAAAGTTGGAAAATAGATTCAGCAGTTCTGTCAATTTGTTTATGAACTTACTCAGACATTCCAATCAGTATTCTTGTACCCTTTTAAAACTTCTACGTCATAGAGAAATGTTTCTCCGTCATAGCAACTTGAAGACCTGTGGACTCCCAACTCCCAGAATTCCCCAGCCAACTTGCTGGGGAATTCTGGGAGTTGAAGTCCTCGGGTCTTATGGCTGAGAAACACTGTATAGGTAGTCCTTGACGTACGACCACAATTGAGCCCGGAGTTTGTGTTGCCAAGTGAGGAGTTTGTTAAGCGGCTCATGCCCCCATTTTGCGACTTTTCTTGCCACCGTTGTTAAGTGAATCCACGGTTGTTAAATTAGTCACACGGTTGTTAAGTGAATCTGGCTTCCCAGTGATTTCACTTGTCAGAAGCTCGTAAAAGGATCATGTGATGCTAGGACACTGACGGTCATAAATGTGAACCAGTTATCAAGCATCTGAATGTAAATCTTGTGACCATGGGAATGCGCTACTACAGTTGTAAGTGTGAAATGTGGTCATAAATCACTTTTTCCAGGGCTGTTGTAACTTTGAATGGTCATTAAATGAACAGTTGCAAGTCGAGGACTGTGTGTATTTCAGCCTGTTCTGCTTGTCACTAAGTTTATGGGGGGTGGAGGGCGTGGAGCTGTGTTTGGCTCAATAAAATTTCCTTCCTAACTTTTCCTGGGATTATTCTAACACTGACTTTCTCACAGTGAGCAACTTTTAAGATAACGTGGACTTCAGTTCTGGGAGTTGAAGTCCACATATCTTAAAGTTGCAAAGGTTGAAAATCTTCGTGCTAGCAGATAACTTTTTTATAGACAGGTCCTTAAACAGGGAATTGTTCCCGGATTATTTTTCATGCTCCTTTCCCTGTAATTTGCCTTGTAATCTGTTCGGGATAAACGCTGGTACAGTTGAAGAAGTAGCAATAAATGATTTCAAATAACTTTTGTCTTCCATAACCCTCTCATTGCAATCCTTTGGGTTTAATATCTCCCTCTGACTGTGGGTTGGTTTTTCAAATCTCGAACTCGGATCTCGAACTGTGACTTGATTTTCAAATTGTGAGCACGCTTTAAGCCCTCTTGCCTTCCATTCACTGCCCACTCCAATCTTTTTTTAACAATTGTTTCATTAGTTTCTGTTGTAGTATACAAAGAAAATACAAAAGCAAAAAGTAGGAAAAATAGAGAAAGGAAAAGTGAGGAAAAGAAGGGGGAAAGAAAGAGAAAAGAGCATTGATTTCCAACTCCGTTTGGTGCAGAGGTGGGTTCCTACCAGTTCGCACCTATTCGGNGTCCCGTGACCATGGGGATACTGCAACGGTGGTTATGTGTGAAAAAGGGTCATAAGTCACTTTTTTTCAGTGCCGTTGCAACTTAAAATGGTCACTAAACAAACATTGGAATGAATAAAGGCATACATTCAATTTCGCAGCTACTAAGATTGTTGGCCGAGCAGGTCCCAAAATAGCCAGGGAAATGTTTGAAGCCTGGGAAACAGACCCATTGTTAGTCAACAGGTGTGCTGATTTACCACTCGCTTACCAGGCATGTAGGAGCTGAGGACCTGGCAGCACAAGGCACACATTTTGGTAGAGAGAAGTTCCCCGAGGATGGGCTCTAGCACGAGTCCGAAAGTTCGGAAGACTAAGCCTCTGGTCCTGGTGACCGACCCAGATCAAATGCTGCTCTAAATGAACTGTTATAAGTTGAGGACTGACTGTCTTTTTAGTTCAACTGTTTCTTTACTACACCCCACGCAAGCAGACTGAAGCTGCTTATCGTTAATGGGGACAAGAAAAACGCAGCAAACATATAATAATGGAAAACATACTTTGTGAAAAGGTTGGTAGGGGGCAGGGAAACCAAAATTGAAATGGGACCGTTTCAGCCAACTTCCACGCAGGAAATAGGTTTGGCCATTCATTCCAGATGATATCACTCTAGGAATTGCATGTGTACGTTAAGAAAGCAAAGGGAATAGATATTCTGGCCTTCGACTCGCTTTCCCCATTGGGTGTCCTGATTGGGAGGGGGGGAAGCATGGGAATTGTAGTCCCACACATCTGGAGGTCATCACGCTGGAACAGATTACCGCAAGACTTTAGCATAGCAATACATTTTTATTTGCGGGGGGGGGGGAGAATCGAACCGCGTGGAATGCTCTGGAATATAGGAGCATGCCAATGTTTTTTCTGCAGGTTTAATGCACTCAATAGCCCTTCGAATGGGTGGGTGTGCAAACAGATACTAAAACTCAGAAATGGACACGCCAATCTTGTTTTATTACATGGGAAAAACCAGATTAGATACTGGAGGCTAGGTAAATAAATGTTCCAACACGCCGCGGATTGAAGAGAAATGGAAAGGACGTATTGCAGATGTTGGGAGCCACGTAGGTGTGCTTGTGCGTGGCTTTCCTCCCACAAAGCTAACCGTGGCAGTCTCCGTTTCTCCTTTTCTTAGGCCAAGAGAAAACTGGATCTGGAAGGAACCACCCAGCAGCGCATCCCGGAATTCCGGACACCGAAAGGCAAAGGAACTGCGCTCTCACATATCCCCAGTCCCAAAAGTAAGAGGCCATTGGATAAAGAAAGCCAAATGGGAACGAAAGGGTGCATTGGCAGAGTCTAGAGTCACTGTCTTTTAAGGTTTTAGCCTTTTAAGTTTCTAGTCCACATTTCTAGAAAAGTGAGAAATCTGCTTCGGTATCAAGTTTTTTATTCAGCACGATCTGCTTAAGCTCCATTTTTTATTATTATTATTATTTTAAATCATAAAGTGTTTGGATTTTGCCCACAAGATCAGAACTTTATATTGAGCAAATCCATTTTCCAGTAAAGGAAGCTGTATTGTTTTTCCTTCCGACACACTTCTGGGAATAGTGTTATATCCTAAAGAAACATTACATAACATTATCTCAGGAGCCTAAATCTAATCCAGGGGTCTCCATCCAACCTTGGCAACTCCCAGAATTCCTCAGCACACTTGGCAACTTAAGATCTGTGGACTTCAACTCCCAGAGTTCTCCAGTCAAAATAGCTTGAACCATGATGATCTGAAGCTGGCTAAGGAATTCTGGGAGTTGAAGTCCACAAGTCTTAAAGTTGCCAAGGTTGGAGACTCATGAATTCTAACCCTAATCTGGATTTCATAACAAGGATGGCTGCACTGAAGCTCTTTTGGCCACTAGAGGGCGATAGAACACCATCTTTTAGCCTAGGTGCTGAAACCATTCAGAATTTCAGAAACTTCTTTTTCCATCTCTTCTACAAGTTTTATTTTAAAAATAAACAAAAATATTTTATTATTTATTTTATTATTTATTTTTCTGCAATTTCGCCATACCTGGTCAAGATGATCCTCCTGCCAGGAATGGGGGTTGCATTCTAGCACATTTTGTTTTTTAAAATATTTTTATCATACAGTTTTCTTCATTTTACATCAGTTTCAGCTTTGTGACAGCAATATACTGGTTATATCCACAACTGTTTACAATATACATATTATTATGCCATCTAGTTGCAACCATTTATGTCTTGTTTATATGGTAGCGTGTTTGTACCTATTATTTCCATATTTCTAACATAAATCTCTATATATTTATCATTCTAAATATTCTATTTTACATTTTTATACCATCCTACCATAATATTGCTTACGGTAAATATTCTATCAGTATACTTATACTTATTTCTAATTTCTAGTTTGTTAATCGTCTTTCATCCTTAATTTTCTAAACTTTGCATCTGTTTCCTAACCAATTATATCATACATTTCCAAATTAAATAATATTCTATTATATTAATTAATGCACATTACTATTTCTCTTTTGTCTTTAATTTCTGTTGTCAGCCTGTCCATCTCAGCGCAATCTAATATTTTCCGTATTACCATTTCTTCTGTGGATATATTTCAATTTTTCCAATTTTGAGCATACATAATTCTAGCACACTTTGAAGGCATTGAAATGAGGAAGATAGTTTCAGCAAAAATTCAAGCAGAAACTTAAATTTGCAGGAAATTTAATGCACGGGAGGCAAGGGCACCTCCCAGAATAACTTGACCTCATTTGTACATGACCATGTGGATGTTTGCGAGGCGGTCTGAGCCTTTCTGAGCAAAAAAACAACAAAAACAGCTGTCCACTGTATAATGACTTCCATAATTTTTCAAAATTTCAGACAATAGCTTGTGTGTCATTGAGGGATAGCAACCTGCACATTCAAGATAAATACTTTTAGTTGAGGTTCTCCAGAGAGAACAATATCTAATTGGAGTCACAGTCAATGTAATTGTACGTAGGAAAGACCTTGGAAGGCTGAGCTAAGAGATGCTGCCAAGGGAATGGTTACATAATAGACATATAGCCCACATCTGGATAGTGGGCAGGGAAAGAGACTTTACCTAGTTTCTTGGACAGCAAAGGAGGGGGGTAGAATGGCACTTTCAAATTTGCAGGATTGATATTGCTCCCAGGTAAATCAGATAGGAATCAAATTTTGGTAGTCACGCAGCTTCTCCTTGCTGGGAGATTCTTGAGAGATCCAGCCACCGGAGTGTGTAGATCGTTTACCCATGACGAAGCCACTTCGTCTGGGGCGCACTCCATGGAGGCTAGTCTTCATTGCACCCCGTCAAACCAGGGGTACTGATTCCTACTTTATTATAAAACTGAATTGATGGAACCTTGGGAACCTGGAATTACAATTCATCTTATCCCACCCTGTCTGCATTGCAACCTGAGAAACTATGGAGGGTCTCCCCTGAGCCTCTTGCCCCACCTGCCATCCAGCTGTGGGCTATGCGGTCTCTTATCTCATTGTTCCCTTGGCCGTGTCTCTTTGCCGCTTTGTCTTTCCCGTATACCGGTGATGGGTAACCTTTTTGTCGTCACGTGCTAAAAGCGTGCCCACATGCGACACCCACCCACCCCGTATGCCTCGCCCGCATGCACGTGTGCCCCCGCGCATGTGCACATGACCCCCCCTGTGCTTCCTTTGTTTTGGGCTTAGCAGGCCTCCCTGCAGCCTCCTGGAGCAAAAGCAGGCTGCAATCACCATCACCACCATGTTCCTCCTGGCCCCCATGCATGTACATGTGACCCCCTGTTCCCTTCCCACATGCGCCCCACCTCCCCGCACATGCACAGCAGACCTGAAAATCAGCTGGCTGGCAGGAGGTGCATGCACGGTGTTCTGCTGGGGCGAACGGCTCGCATGCCCGCAGAGAGGGCTGTGCGTGCCCCCTGTGGCACACATGCCTTGGGTTCGCCATCACTGCCATATGCGATCGGAATGGTTCGGAAGTGGGGATGTCCCAAAGAATTTTTAACCCACATTGCTATGATGGCACCACATGGATTTTCTTTGTCTTCCAGCCCCCAAGTCCCCTGGAGAGAAAACCCGTTACGACACGTCTCTTGGCTTGCTGACCAAGAAGTTCATCCACTTGCTGAGTGAATCGGAAGACGGGGTTCTGGACTTGAATCGGGCTGCTGAGGTGCTGGAGGTGCAGAAGAGACGCATCTATGATATCACCAACGTCCTGGAAGGGATTCAGCTCATCCGCAAGAAATCCAAGAACAATATCCAGTGGATGTAAGTTGGTTGGAAAGATTTCAGGGGCGGAGAGGCCTGGAGAGAACGGCCAATCTAGATTGGGTTGGATATCATGAGCCAATGTGGAAAAGGAGCATCGTTGTTGTTAGTCACAAAGTCATATCTGACCCATCGCGACCCCATGGACAACATTCCTCCAGGCCTTCCTGTCCTCTAGCATCCTCTGGTGTCCATTTAATCTCACACCTACTGCTTCGGTGACTCCAACCAGCCACCTCATTCTCTGTTGTCCCTGTCTTCTTTTGCCCTCAATTGTTCCCAGCATCAGGCTCTTCTCCAGGGAGTCCACTGGAGAAGGAAATGGTAACCCACTCCAGTATTTTTGCCATGAAAACGCCATGGACAGTACAAAAGGAACATCATTAGTTTGCTGTAAGTCACCCTTCTCCAACTACTAGAAGATCTCCAGATGGGGAAAGCTTCGGTTCCCAAAATTCTAGCCTTACCATAGGGAAAGATTTGAGTTCCAGACATCTGGAATATAACCAGGTTGGGAAAAACCGCTGGTTATCCAGCCTGTGCTTGAAAGAATTATATCTGGCAGGTATTTCTTTAACTTGATTTCTTCATTAGAGAGAACGGTAGTCCTCGACCATTAATTTAGGGCTGTTTGAAGTTCTGACAGAGCTGAACAAATGGTGGAGGTTTTGGAGGTCTGGGCTATCCCAGCATCCCCATGCTCACATGATTGCGATCTGAGTCCTTGGCAGTCGGTTTGCACATAGCAATTGCAGCATCCTATGTTCATAGGATCTGTTTGCAACTTCCCTACCAGCTTCCAACGAGCAAAATCAGTGCAAAACTACAGATAATTTTCAAGTCCCCGGGGTAAGTTTCTTTCACCCATGCGCCCTCCCAGAGCTCTCTGCACTCACGTTGTGCTGACTACTTATGCACTCCCACCCACACTCCCCAAACCCCACCACGCCTTCCTCACTCCCCACAGACCCCTCCACAAACTGCACTGGGCCTCTCATGTACCTTGGACCTTCTCCAACCTGGTCTCTCATGGAAACCCTCATATCTTAATGCATCCTCTCCATGCCACGCCTCTCATGGACCACCTTCGTACCTCCATCACTCTCTTCTCCCCCACCCAAAAGCAACCACTTACCTGCTTGCAAGCCTAGGACTTTCGACTTCCTACCAGCTTCCCCAGTGACTTCGGTTTCAGGAAGCTGGCAGGAATAAAACAGGGTCTTATTTACTTTTGACCCCCAAAATAAGCATTTGGCCTTATTTTCGGGGAAGTCTTATTCTTTTTGAGGTGCAGGAGGCGGCGAGTGTGGTCACCTCATAGCTGCTGCTGTGTTGCAATATTTTCAGGGAGGGCTTATTTTTGGGGTAACAGGGTACAAAAATGGTGTATTTTTCTGCAGGAGCAACAAATTAGTTTTGCTGTTTTAACTCCATCCCAAGGCCTAATTGCATACCCTTTTTCTTAAAGAGAGGGACTGTTTTTCTTTGAGAATTACTTTGAATGTTTACAGTTTTCCCTGGCTGTCTCTATAAGGAGGGGGCATTTCCCTAGATTTTGCTCTGCTCACTTCTTAATACCTTCTGCTTTATCAGGCAGAGTCACATTTCAAATCAGTTCCCTTAATTTCCACATTTCATCTCAATCTCCTTAAGTCTGTTTCTCCCTCTGCTTTGGCTGAACCCCTTTGTGTTCCCTTGTGTTTGGCATCGATGTCTCTGTGCCTCTTTCTTTTTTCTTTAAAACCCTCTGAATTTCCCTCCTGCCAAGAGTTCAAAGCAATTTTTTTTCATGTTCTACTTAACTTTGGATGAAAAGCCAAACCATCTTAACGTTTGTAAGACTGACATCCTAAGTTGCAATTGTATACTGATAGATCTTTTTTCTCCCTTTTCTTTTCAATACGTTAAGCTTTCTAAATAATGGAATATTCATGGTTTTTTTTCCATCCCATCCCATAGATAGGCCTGCATTGAAATCTGTGTTGAAACAACACAATGCATCAGGATGTATAATACCCCAAGGCGAAAGGGGAAAAAGAGAGCTCAGAGTGAAAACTTTGAGCTCTGGTTTAGGAAAAGGACTCATTCTGATCTATTATTAATATGATGTCCAGGGGAACGGGCCTTTTTGAAGATTCTTCCGTGGCCACGAAGCAGCATGTCCTGCGACAAGAACTGACCGAACTTTCAAAGAATGAGAAAGTTTTGGACAAGCTGATCCAGGAGTCCTCTCTGCAGTTAAAGCATCTGACAGAAGATGAGACCAACCAAAGATATCCTTTTGAGAGGTGGGCGGGTGAAGAGGACAATGACCAGAGAACAGAGAGAGGCTGCCAGGAGATTCACACTGCGTTGAAAACTGGGGGCCAAAGGTTCAGAATCCGGCAGGCTCCATGCAGACATTCTCGGGGTTCCCGAGTTGACTTAGCTAAGTCAAGGTGTGCTGTTATCCTCTTTAGAATAGAATAGAATAGAAAAGAGAATAGAATAGAATAGAAAAGAGAATAGAATAGTGAATAGAATTGAATTCTTTATTGGTCCAGTATGATTGGACACACAAGGAATTTGTCTTTGGTACATATGCTCTTCGTGTACATAAAGAAGAATAGAATAGAATAGAATTCTTTATTGGCCACGTGAGATTGGACGCACAAGGAATTTGTCTTTGGTACATATGCTCTTCGTGTACATAAAGAAGAATAGAATAGAATAGAATTCTTTATTGGCCACGTGAGATTGGACGCACAAGGAATTTGTCTTTGGTGCTTATGCTCTCAGTGTACATAAAGAAAAATAAAATATAATACATTCATCAAGAATCATAAGATACAACATTTAGTGATAATCACAGGTTACTAATAAGCAATCAAATCATACTAGGAACCAAACAATAT